GTGTGTGTGTGTGTGTGTGTGTGTGTGTGTCTTTAAATAAAATAAAATAAAATAGGTACATTGTTTAAGTTTCAACTTTTTTTATTGTAATGTAAATACTCACCTGGACCGTTGGTTTCCAAACATTTTAACTTCTGGCCACCAAAATAACGGTTGCAGATAGTACTGGTTTACGTATGTAAACTTTGCTGATGGGCAAAATAACAATATAAGCAAACATATTAACTATGATACTACTTCTATTCATTTATTATTATTGTTTGTTTGTTTAAATGCATATTGAGAAAATGCTCCATTAACAATATGTTTGCATTTAGAATGATGTCTGGAAATCATCTGGTGACCCCCACTTGATGTTTCATGACCCACAAAGGGGTCAAGACCCCAACTTTGGGAACCACAGGTATAGACCATTGGTCTTCAGAGGTTTATTAGTTCCAACACACACAGAGATGAAGAACTGATGCCTCCACCAGATCTAAATAAGCTCATCAGATGCTCCGTGGATATTTTACTTTCACAGCTGCTGCCTGTTTGTATTAAATCATTTTGTTTCAATAATACCTAAAAAAATATTCCTGCAGATGTTGATGTAAATAGCCATAATACAAGATCATGTAGTTATACTAAACAGGTTGCTGGTTCTGAATTTCTTTATTCAGATTTAATATCCCATTTACCCATTTAATATCTCAGCAAATAAAACTGTGACCCTGAATGTTCTTTGTTTCACATGTGGTCACGCAAAAATAATTATGATGACTCCTTTTTTATGTTAAAGACTGACACTAAGATATTTGGACAGAAAATCAAATGTCATTTCTTTGCATTCATTTCTCAGCTCCACAGTACCACAGATGAAGGGGTGGGTGTTGCAGGTTTTATGCATTCATGCAGTGAATTTCTCTTTAATGCAGTGCCATTAGGCAAAGCTTTCACATTCTGAGGTGCACAGCACACACATTTTCTGGGGAATGGCAATCGTTATTGTGACATTAAAGTGCTGTGGAAAGGTTATTATCTCACATTTTAGAAATGGCTTTTTGGATGATCTCGGTTTGGAGATATCGTTTGTTGCAAGTCCGAGTGAGACCAGACCACTGAAAACAACCATAGCAATACATGCACATACTATTTTATTAACCATTTGTTTTACATTTACTTAAAATTGTTTAGTTATTTGCTGATTCAAACAGCAGCAGCTCCAGTTAGTTGTAGCATGTATTCATGAACAGCAAAAAAACAAAATGTTTCTCTAAACTGAGGTTGTTTAATATTATAGAGTTACCCACAACATGTAAGATATTCTTTGTTCATAAGCTTTCCACAGAACTTTACTTGAAAATGTCTAAACTGCCCCTTTGCATCATAGTCTTTTTGTAGGAGTGAAGTAAATCCAACAGCTAGTTTACATCTATATGAGCCACTAAAACATATAGATAATGTTTATACTAAAAATGTGTTGGTTACATTGTAGCAGAACCATCTCATCAACATCTGGATCTGCAAAATCCTCCCTCTCATGTCAGCTATCATAATTTAATTAAAGGCACATCTTTTGTTCCTCTCTACCCCTCCTCCTTTTCTTCAGCAGTGGAAATATGAAGCAGTTTGTGGTTTTAAATGCTCATAACCTGTGTAGGTCATTAAATTGAACATTGTAAAACAGCAATAATGAGATCATAATAGATAAAAAAGGAAAAATAAATTGCAAAAGTAGAATATTTGTGTCTGGAAATGTGCATGGTGATAAATTAAACAGAGGCATTCAGAGGCAAACAAAACCTCACTGCCTGCTCCCGCCCCTTGCATCTGTTAGGCTCTCCTGATTGGCTAGTACATCTGCTCATTATTTTGCAGCCACAGTCTAAATGGCTAGTCTTCTCTCAGCTTTCTGTGTCTCATTGGTTAAATATGTAGCACATGGGGGTGCAGACGCTTCATTTCTGTTATGGTCTGAAAGCGTTTGGCTTCCTCCAGCATAAACAACATTGTTTGCTGTGATTCCTCCTTTTCTGCATCTCCTTCCTGTCATGGATTACCTGTTGTTTTATCTGGTTGATGGAGTTTATTATTACAGAATGATGGATAGATGACCGAAGGATTTAAAGGAAGTTTTTTGTGTGAAAAGGTAATGCCCAGGCTGAGAGGCTTTTGTGCACCTGTGCTGTGAGTGCATCATGTTTTCAGGTGCAGGAACATTATTCTCTTTTCTGGGACTAAAGGACAGCAGCAGGATGGGTAGAATGCAGTGGGTGAGGAAGACGGTGAAATGTAATGCTTTGAGGCTGATGGCCAAGAAATCCAGAGGAGCTTCACAGCCTCTCTCTTTGTGGATGACACCAGCTGTCAGAAAAGATAAAGAGCGGCATAAAAAAAACAGCAAGCTGTGAACAAGCATTTGGCTTCTGTTCTTGGTTACAAAAAACACTATTTGTATTGTTTTTTTCACCATACTTTATATTCTCTCTTCTGAAAACTTTAAATGCCAAAATCTATTTGATTTCTTCCCTGGTCTTTAAACTTTTCATCACTCAAGCCTTCAGCTGATGGGTATATTGATTTCTTTTGGAGTTTTTGTTTGTTTGTGTTAACGTTTTCCTCATCTTGTTTTCTAGCTTATCATCTGCAGACGTGGGTTTCATCTTGGTCATCGATCGCAGGCAAGACCGATGGGCAGCTGTCAAAGGGACACTACTTCGTATTGCAGTAAGTTAGCCTTCATGTCTGGAGCTCCTATAATCTCTGAACTGTATTTAAACATCAGTTTAAAAAGGGATGTTTAATCAGTTGTTAGTAAGAAATGATCCCATCATTGAGACTTTTTCACTCCCAGAGGAGGACATGCAGCTCAAACACTAAACGGATGTTTAAATGTTTTCCCTGCATGTTCACAGACACCATGTGTTTCTGTAGTGGCACCATTATGGACCAAATATTTAAATTCATTTTATTGTAGTTATTTCTATAGCAAACTGATTCATTTACATTGTGGATAATCTAAACTCAGATTAAATAAAGACCAAAGTGAGTAACTGTCCATCCTTTTTTTTTACTTACTTAATTTTGAGGGTTGTGTGGAAACTGATGTGTTCAGCAGTCAGTGTACAAAAGGTAGGGCACACCTTTAATAAGGTTCAAGTCCATCACAGGACCAGATAAAAACAAACGAGTCAAATGATCACACTTCTGCTCACAYCTAGTGACAATTTAGAGTTATCAGTTAACCTAACATGCACATAACATGGTTTGGTTTTGAGGGCTACAACCACCCACTGCATGCTTTTGCAAAAAATTGACATTTGTGCTTTAATCATGACAAGCAGAATAAAAAATTCCGAAAAATATTTATATATTTAGTCAGGTGTCTTGAGGCAGAGAATTAGCTTCAATAATGCAAACGATACTGATGTAAAACACCTTCATCCTTTTTTTTCAGTTGTTCCAAATTGTTTTTGTGTGAACATCAGGCCACAGAGTCTGGATGTTTTTCTGTGTTTCATGATTTATTTTGGGAGGTTGTAATGGTTTATCAACATTCCAGAGTTTGGCATATTTTTTGTGATAAATGCTGTTGATAAAAGTTAGCAGTTTACAGATTTTCTATGAAGAACAAAAATCCATTTGTACTGTTTAAAAAGTTTTTTTAAGCTTCTCATATAAAATGGTCATGTCACTCATCAAAACTGAAACGCAACACATAAAAAAAGGTATTAGAATTAGAGATTATTATCATCGGACACTTCGGCTTCTCACTCAGTCATTTCAAATTAAATTAAGCTTTATTAATCCAATGAGGCAGATTTAACAGGTCAATGATCACTAATTGGGTGAATTCTGTCAGTCCTGCATTAATGTTTTGCTTGACGTGTTCCAGGCTGTTTATTAACAAAATATCAAAGCTTATAGTTGAGATGTTCAATTTTCAGGAAGATGTGAGGTTGTGTGGCTTAACAAGGTTGCTTCTGCTGACAAAATTACATTTTGTTGTGTTTTTCTGTGCCTAACAATGTGGTTGTGTATAAGTTTGGACTGTAGCCTGTAGTAAGATTGCAAAGGAAGCAGTAAATTACCTTGCAGAGTTGAACTGGATGTGGTCAGACCAAAAGTGTTTCTGAACTGATTTTCATTGTCACCAGTCATTATGTTGGTCTTTTTAGCTGGTCTTTTGTTTTGGGACATGTTTGTTTCTGTGTCTGTCTGACAATTCTAAAGAACAAAAAGCGGGTAGACCAGTTCCCACAGAGCAAAGCAACATTGCTGAATAACAGCTATTTTATGTATTTATAAGGGAATATAAGAAAATTTTTATGTCGTAACTGCAAATATACTCCATAATATAAAACTGTATGTCCTTTCCTTCTAAGTCAAAATTTACMCAGAGAATATCTACATTTTTGCTCATAAATACATAGTTTCTTCTTTTAACCACCATAATCTTGTTTTTGAGTTTTAAACAAAACTTAAATCCTATTTGATAATTATTGCTGCTATGCTGTTGCAACTAATAAATTAGTTTGAAATTATAATTCATCTTTAATGGAAACTAGCTTCWGGAGAAATTATCAAACCATTGTCAAACACATACAATAGATGTATAGACCTGCTCGGATTTTAGTGCACAATGTTGCCAAAGTCATTGAGCCATTAATCATACATACACTAAACAATAGCTCTGCCCCCCGCCCCCCAATTGCTCCCCTTCTCTTCTACTGACCCATAATGTAAATTAATTTTTAAAAATCTGCATGTTCTACAGATTGCAGGTTTTATTCAGCAGATGGCGAAAGCTTCTTTTCATTTCACTAATCTTCCTTCTTCCAGCAAACGAACAAGGACGAACAGGTTGATTTATTCATACTGCTAAAAGTGCTTTTCCCAAGAGGTTTATATTAACTGTGTGTTCACCATCACTTCTGCATACAACAGCATTCTCCTCCCCAGTTGGGTTGGAGGACCAATCAGTCCAGCCATCCATTTAGGTCATTAGCTAATTAAAGCTGCATTACCAATAGCAGTGCTTTGGGAGAGGAGATAAGTGTCTACCATTCAGCTGTCATCCAGCTGCTTCCACAGCAGTTTGTCAGTGGGTGTCAGTCCTGACATTTTAATTAGTATTTTTATTTTTGTCCTGCTGGCTTAACTGAGCAAGACGTAGAAATATGGTTAAATTCATATGTGTTCACACACACACACACACACACACACACACACACACACACACACACACACACACACAC